AAAAATTTATTATCTAGGTGTGATACAAAGCTGTTCGTAGGGGCTTAACTTTGTTTTTTTTTTAATCTCTGGAGATAACTCCACTGATTTTGGAGAACACGATTTAAACGAAGCTAATTAATTGTTAAGTAAATTTCCTGGAAAATTCAATACATTTCAGTTTTGGATTCAGTATTGTCAAAAATCTCTTGGAGTAATAGTGTATTCGGAATTGAATTTTTCGAAGAACATCGTTTTTGATTTATAATGGCGATTGCAGTAAAAATGCATTCAGGTATAATTTTATAACTTTTTAATAATTTTGTCGCAAAGCACAAAAAAAATGTGATATCTTCAGAACGACTCCACCGAATCACACGAATATTATTTGGTGACTTAAAGCTCTGTGTGTTACACAAAATGGTATACACCCGACCTTTATAAATAATAAGTAAATAAATCAAAAACTTATTGATGCTGTTTAGAAGAGCAGTAATTCAGCTTCCTAATAGTTGCACTAACGTTTCATTTGAAGAAAATCCAAAAAAGAAGTTAATAATGATTTAGTAAACGGTCGTAAAAAAAGCAATCTTCGGAGGACATCAAGTTCTTAAATTTCCGATTTTTGAGTTATAGAAAAATAATTATTTAAGAGTTTTAAAGGACACTAAATCCCACTCTAACTTGTTTTTATGTATTTTTGTTTAAGGGGAAGAAAATTTTTTTATTTATCTTGTAGCCAGCAATTATATTTAAAATTCGTCTATTTCCTTTAATCTATAATTTCTTTAATAATAAATTTTGAACACGGCCACAATGTTTTCACGGTAATTAATTATTTCAAATAAGTATGTTATATCGTCTGTGGTTTTTACTTCCCTAACGTGGTAAGTAAAAGTTGTGTTATGCGGGCACCACATCACATTTTTTTTCAATTACCATCGAAGTTTCTAAACGATTTCTTAATTTTATCATTAACGTTTATAGTTATTAAAACAGCATATGTCACTATGTGGTGTGAATCATTAGGAAGTCTATATAGATCATGAGCTCTATATATGTGTTCGTGCAAGAGGATGGTAAAAATAAATTTTCAATTAGTGGACTTAATTAAAAATAGAGGAACCATGTAATTTTTTCGTCCTTATTTGAAATTTAAATAACCATGATACATTAGTCGGTAACTTATAATAATAAATACCAAATGAAGTTTAATATGCCGTGTGATTATACTATATAGGCCAAGGCTAAAGAAGAATCAAATGATTTTAATTGTAATTTATTAATTGATGGTAATAAATAAATAACTGCATACTTATACTGCAGTTAAAACTCTCACATTACATAACTGCACTTCTCCTTGATTAATTTGATGTGTATGCAACATTAGCGATATATATTTATTCCTATTTACAATGCAATATTATTAAGATAATCTCTATTCAAGGTACACAATTGGCGAATCTTGAGGAGGTGAGAATATCGTTATGCTCCCCCCATAGTTTGGATTAAAAAAAAAAAATAATAAAATTGATAAATAAGCTACATGAATAAACTAAAGTCGATTAAGAAAATATCAAAATCGACTAGCTGGATAAGCCAAGGCCTATTAGTAAATACATAACTATTATATCACGACATAATTATTTTAATTTTTATTTATTTATGGATAAATTAATACTGGAAACATATCTTTAGATTATATGATTCAATCGCCGTTCATGTGGACACCTCTGTTTTCACGGGAATTTCTTATAAATTTTTTGAAATTAAAGAAGTATAAATATATTTTATATATATTCATAAACTTGTTTAAAAATATGTAAGTACACAGGGGTATGGTCATCAGTCCTACACCCGGTTGGTGTGAGTTGCCTCCAGTTGGCTGGCGGATCTCACAAAGCCGAGGAGGGGAGGGTTTCGGGCAGCGTGGCTCTTTTGTGGAAGGTCACCCAAATCTGGCGGCCACCCATCTATGTGCTAACCACGCTCGTGCGTTGCTTAACTTTGGTTACCTATTGCAAATGCCTTAGTATCCGCATGGCTATCCCAGCCCCCAATATATATATATATATATATATATATATATATATATATATATATATATATATATATATATAAATCTTTGATAACTTCTTCCAAATCCATCGCTACTGATAGCCGAAAAGTGGTTCTATACTCTGGTGTAATGTATATACTATATATGTTATATAGTGAAGTTAAATTTGTAACGTTCGTGGTTTTACTGATTCTCGATGGGTTCACTCAGTCCTTAAATGAGCATTTGGTGTAAAACAAGGAACCAGCACCCAAGGTAGGTCACTGCTGCTGCATGATGCTCGGTTAACAAAAGCATTTAATGAGACGGGCCGGGTTGCGCTGAGAAAGCTGTTTGATTGGCAGGTTTTTCACTGGCCCTCTTCTTTGTTCCGGGACCAAACAAAACAGTTTACGTTTCGTTAAATTGCACCATTAGCTTTTTGTCCTTCTAGCTTCAAAGAAATACAAGAATTGAAATCTCACCTTTAGAAATTAGCTTTTGATGAGGCTAATAATCCTTTCAATTCTCAAAGGATAATGCTGCGCTCACCTTGCAGATCATTTTTTAAATGTGAGGACCACTTTCTGAAGGCCGCGTAACTATACATTTACAACAGGTTTTTTTAATGATTGTTGAAGTCGTTATTATTGACCGAAAATGATAAGTGAAGAGGAATTTATTTATTGTATTTTTTCATCTCTCCCCAATAATATCTTCGAATAAGGTCTAATAGGTTATTTTATTATTAAAAATGGTTGGCTGTAAATCCTGACAATTTGGTTTCATCCTAATTTTCATTCGTGTTTCGGTTTGTTGCTGATCGAGGAGTTAACTCTTGTTGACTTAATATGCGCAAACTTCTTCTTCAATCTTGGAATGAACCGTCTTTATTTTGGTGAGGGAGAATTCCGAAATTCTTTGTTTTGGAAGTAGGGAGGCCTTACTGTTTCAAGAAATAGTGTTTTGGGGAGAAAAACTCTGGTAAAAGGAATCAGTTACAGGGTAAGGCGGATTATTTTAGACTCTATGTGAAATCTGCATCGCCAACTATATCGATTCTGGTCGTTGCTTTATGCATTAGAGGTACAGAAAGGGAAAAATAAAATAAATCATAACTTTTGGTATTTAAGATGATGGTAACGTCGAACTTTAACATTTTTGTATTTTTTACTTAAATATTATCAATTAAAATACTTAGTAAACTATATCATTTAGCAACTCAGCAGCCGTGAACTTTAATAAATCATTTTTCTTCTTACATTCTTCATTTATACTGTGAAATGAAAATTAACCAACCCAGGTGGGAATCGAACCAACAACGTTCAGAAACGGATACACTGGTATCTGTATTCCCAACATACGAATTTATTGAGATGTGCAAAACGTTTCTGGTCCGTCGATATCACAAACGATTCGAAATCGAAACCCCAATTTATTAATCTACAAAGAAATGGGCTTAAAATAAAAAAAAAAAATTGTTTTTTTTTATTAATATAACATTCTGCCTATGCTAGGAAAGTTAATCAGTAGTTCGAATCCCGGTCCCACTTCCCACAATGGCTGGTCCCCACGAGAATTTAGACCATACCCTCTTAATATGGGGAGGCCTACAGGTATGTAACATGCACTTGTACGAACAGAGTAGGAAAAACAACAAACAAAAAAAGGTCTGTCACATGAAAAATGGTTAAAGTTAGAATAAAAAAACAAAGGTATGATTTAGTTACCAGATATTAATATTAAATTAATAAATAATAGTCAAAGGTTTGAACCAATATACACACGCAATCTTTATTAGATAGATTTTTCCTCTCATTACGATTGGAACGTAGATGTGAAAGTAATGCATTAAAATCTGATCTGGCAAAGAAAATAGTTGTAGAACAAGCAGTTTTGCGACTAAATCGTTTCGGAAGTGAAGGAATCGGGAATATTATCGTAACGGTTGTTTGTATAAAATGCTTTATGTATTGCTGTACGGTATATGTGGGCATATCTGGAGATCTCAAGGCAAAACTAATATATGGGGCCGGGGTAGCCGAATGGGCTTAAGCGTGTGCACAGCACCGCGAGTTGCCTGGCAACCGGAGAACAAAGATTTGAGATGAAAAAAAGTACGATTTCGCGTACTATCGGCGTAAAATCGCCGGAGGGGATTTTAAGTTCCCCGCCCTCACCACCCGGCCTGGGAAAATCCCGTATAGCCTATAAGGCGAGGTAGGGAAGAACAAAAAAAAAATAAAAGAATTTGATAAATTGCTTTGTATGATTGGTCTTCGGTATATCAAAGGCCGTCTCTGTCCCATTTTTATGCAGAGTTGAAGTGGCTTTATCCTTCCTACCGGCGTATTTCCTGACATCCTTCCTCTTTCAAGTCATCCAATCCCACCGTCCATCTACATCTCCGAACTCCTTCGATTTAAATCCTCTGTCCACTCGCGCAATACTCATTCCCGATCTTCTGATTTATACATAAGGGCCCACCGAACCGCTGTTTTAGACAAATCGTTCATTATTCGATCCTTATCTCTTTTGGGAACTCCATCCCTTATCACATTCGTCAATCCAATACCCTTCCTGCCTTTAAATCCCGCCTGTTCGATCATTTATTATCCATCCACTCCCCTTGAAATTTTAAATAGATACTACTGTAAATATGTATATAAATTATTAGTTCGTTCTTCATTATTTTCACTTCATCTTTCATTTCAATTTTCAATCTTTTTTTTTACTATGACTGTTTAATTACTCTGTATTTTTGTTTATGTATCTTTGAGGCGCCTTAGCCCACATTTCTGTCTTTCTGTATTATTCTAAAGGGACTCGTCCCAGAATAAATAAAGTATTATTATTATAAAACCTGAAGTGGTTTCATAAATAGAACCATCGCACTGAACTGCGCTACCATAGAAATCCTAGATAAATGTAGTTGGGATTTAGAATTTTTCCATCGCATTGGATAAAAGTCATATTATCTCCGAGGGGAACATCGTGTACGATAAGACCATCCTTAGAGGTGTCTTCATGTTGTGGAGTATCAGATCTTTCGGGGCATCATTTTTGGCGCAACTCCACGACAATCTGGATCACTGAGAGAAGGAAGAGCAATGGAGAAAGAGAGCGTGAGTGCGAAAGAGATAAGATGAGTGGTTGAGAGAGAGGGTGATAGAACAGGGTGGGAGACTCAATTATGATTTGCCCGCTCCTTTCGGAATTTTTATGTCTGAGCAATTATTCTCACTGATTGATCCGATTTGATTCCCACGCTCCGCAGCAATAAATATTCGAAATGGAAAGGGGAAACGGAAATAGTCTAGTTCTGGAAGTGGAGTGTGGATGTGAAGGGACATAATATATTTAGTAATTATATAAAGTGTGCCAGAAGGTTTAGTCTTATCCTGATTTGAGTAACAGTTTATTACATTATCCGTTTCTTCAATTATCCAGTTTATATTTGCGGAAATGATTATGTTTTCTTTTTATTTTCAAAGTGGATTGGGTAACTGAAATTATGTGGTAATTATTTACTGATTATCAATATCGGTTTTCAATTAATTAATTCGATATTTACCGGCGTCCTATAATAACATGTTATTGATCAGTATCATTCCGGCGGAGGATTTATCAGTTGACTATAACTTCTGTCAGGTTTAACTTGTTTTTCGGATAATTTTTTATGAGGCATATTTACTACTAGGCCATCAGAGAAAATATTTTTTTTTGAAAATTATTGTTTCAACATTATTAAGTTATGAAACATTTTGTGAAGCGTCGTATGTTTAAATGCCCAATTAAATTATGATCTTAGTATATACCTTACTGTTAACACACACACTCATTTTGTGAGACTTGGTTATTTGGACTTAAGGGACTTCAAAACATGTGTTTCCGTTTAAAACTGAGATTCGAAAATTTTCACGACCGCAATGCCTTCCTTCACTATATAATTCATATAGAATTAAGTGAAAGAAAAAAATCGGATTCGTGCGCGCATCACGCAACTCTCACTTACCACTCTACCTCGAGTGGAAGAATGGAAATATTTTTTGAAAATTCCATTTAAGCTTAGTATGTGGACGGTTAAACTAACAATAAAAACAAATGAATAGCCGTATACGGATGTGGGTAGTTTAAATGGGGGGGATCGGAAAACGCCGGAGGCACTCGACTATTTCCGATTTAACTGTTTGTATCTACGACTAATCCTTATTTAATTTTTAGTTAATTACCAAATTCTTTCATAGTTATATTTATTTATTTTTTTTATTACTAATTACAATGTGAAATAGTTTATTATTTTATAAACAAAATTAAAGACACTTCAGATTAATAAATGTTCGAGAAAATTGTAAAGATCGCAGGCATATACCTACTCTAAATAAATAATTTCAGCTACGTGTTACGTTGTGGTAGTTCCGTTGAATTTTTTTTTTTTTTTTTTTTTTTATTTGTGATATTTACAACTGTATTACAAGTAAAAATACATTCAGTAAATGTGAACAAAGGAATAAAATAGCATGACATCACATGTTGAGAAACTACCCATTGGTAGCACTCTACGTTGAAAATCCGGATTAAAAAATGTTCATGATCGCTACATTTTCCCTAACTACATATTTCATAAATAGGTAAGTGAAAGGAAAAAACGTTACAAATTATTACACAATTATTTATTATTTACAAATATAATAAATATTTTATATCAAATTAACATTACATTCCTGGGCACTTACAGAAAAAAAATGAAAATAAAAGCAATTGCTAAAATATAGACAACAGTCTCTATTGCTTCAGTTGATTTAAAACTTTGCTGTAATAAAAAATTAAAACAAAGAAGATCGTCTTTGTACTATAACGTGTAATAGATATTTAAAACGCTTCCCATGTCTATCTCTAACGCTAGTCATTGATATCTCTGCATCAAATAGATTCCGATTCCATCATTTCTTTTTCTTTTTTTTTGTTTAGGAAACTTCATAATTTTTTTTTGTTGCTACTTTTCAGTTAAGTATGCCACCTACATAAATTTATAGGGCTTCGAGTTTAAGACTTAATCAAAGTTTAATAAAAATCGTTTTAGGAGCCGGTCTATAGTGACACAGATTTTTCTGCCGCCATCTTGAAGGAAAAGGGCGGATGGCAATGCCGATTTCCGAGGATCATCCTCGGGTTATCGTTGACATTCATACCAAATCTCAAAACATCGGTCCAGTTATGTCGGAAAAACCTTGGACGGTGCACGGATTATTTTTTTTTTAATTTGATTTTTCGATTCTACTTATCTTCAAACTTAAAAAATTAAATTTTGAGGAATTTATATTTACATTTATAGGGAATAAACAAAACAAACATAATTATTCTCCTTTTGGGAAATGAGGAATATATAGTTATGACATGTATGATCCGATTCCTGGCACAGTTAGAACTTGATAATGATTGGAATATGACAGATGGCTCAATAAGTGAGATAGTAGACTGGGAGGAGTGGAGGACACAATAGGTAAATTCGTGGAGGCTCCAAAGAGGATAGAACAATGGGCATTGAAGCCGGCCACTCACCTCCAGTCTCTAACTTCAACTATCGGGGCGGCACTAACTAACTTTATCTCTAATATTGACTTTTAAAAAATATTGTAGAGAAAATAGGCAATAATTATTATTATTATTTTAATCTTGAACAAGTTGTATTGTGTAATCTTAAAATGACCTTTTTTTAGTAGAGTCAGGAAATAAATAAACAAATTGACGAACAAATCAAATATATTTTATTCAGAATATTTAAGGTATTTTTCAATACACTTTTGCCGTCGACTAAGGAAATTTTCTATCCCAGATTTGAAAAAGTTTGAGTCATGAATGAAAAACAGAAAACGCATTTTTAATCTCTGAATCATTTTAAAATGTTCCTCGCATAAAGTAATCCAAGCTCTGGAAAAAGTGGTAGTAGAATACGGGGGATGTGGTAGGACTTCATAGTCCAACTCTTTCAATTTATTTACTGTCTGTATCGAAACGTTACGTCGGGCGTTATCATGCAGCAGGATAGGCCATGGGCGTACGTAGGAGAGTGCACGAAACTTGTTCTCCTCTCCAAATAATTTGCAAGAAAATAAAACATAATATAATATAAAAGGTTTGCCGAAAATTCGAGATAATTAATTTATAAATTGTAATAATAATAAACTTTTCTGAAAACAAATTTTCCATCTTGTCCCTCTAATATGAAAGCTGCCCCTTTGGGATATGCACTTTCCTGTTTACCAGTCGCATCTTTTTGTTGTCTGATCAATTGTTGGTCCATTTTCTCAAATTCTTGGCAATACCATAGATAGAGTAATCGTTTCCCTTTTTGGTAGAAATGGAAAATGGATGACCCCATAGACCATCATAAAGTACTTATTATTTATTTATTTTTTTGGATGAAACAAAATTGTCAGGTTTTACTGGCAAGAATTTTTATTAGATTAGCCGACATTTCTACCTAAATATGTGGGCCATCCTCAGGGCTATCTTTTAAGAAACAGCGTTCTTGTGTCGACTCTCAAAAGATAGCTCTGAGTATAACCCACATGTTTAGGTCGAAACGTCGGCTAACCTAATAAAAATTCTTGACTTTAAATCTCGACAATTTGATTTCATCCAAATAATTGATCAGACTAATTACCCTTCCCTTAAATTTTTTTTGGATCATAATTTTTTTAGATGGAGATGTTTTTCCATTCGCTCATCGGCCTTTAACCATTGAACTGATCGGCATGCATTGTCGTACATGATCCATTTTTTTGTCGCATATTATTATTACTTGTCCTGGATATGGTTAATTTCTTTGACGTACAAGGAAAGAAATACAAACCTCTTGATATTTCTATGCTGACGTTTTTTTTTCAGCTTGTCCGGGATCCAGGAATCAAGCTTTTTTTTATTATTTCATATATAGGTAAATGAAAGTAATGATCATGAAAAACGTTTTCCTTTGTCATTGAGGGACCAAAATAAATATATATATATATACATCTGTATTCTATTACACATGAGGTAATGTTCAGTTTCGGGTAAAAATATTGCATTGCTTGCAGTCATTACCATAATTATCTTGTTTTTTAATTTGTGCAAATTTATATTTTTTTCAAATTATATTATCATAAATATTATATTATTATAGATATAAATCATAACCGTTATTGTGACTAAATCGCTGCTGATTGAATACGGAGAGAATATAAGGAAGTCAATAGATGGCGGCCCCTATAGGCCGCCTATGGTACTAGGACTTGGGAGCGAACGTTTTCAGCGAGGACAGTAGCCGCCCTTGAACCCGAAATCGAAAGTTAATAACTCACTCCTTCCTCCCTCCTCATCACTCTTTTATTTTATTATTATTTAATAAATACTAATAACGCCTAGTGATTATGATAGTACAATATGGCTCAACAAATTTAAAAACACATAAGATCATCTTGATTAAAATATTGGAATTATGAGAATTTTTTTAATTATATGAGGAATCAATTGAGTGCCTCATAAGAAAAGGAAAATTTTTAAAAGGGGTGATATAGTCCGTGGTACAAACCCCTTTTTATCTAATTATTAACATTCGGCTGGGGTAATTGTATCTTATCTGGGGTAATAAAATCTTTGTAAATAGTTTCTTCTCACCGTAAACTACAAATATTTTATTTACGAAAATTATCGCAATTGGGGCGTTTTCAATATTTTTTTCCTGTGATTTGGGTATTATGATCTGAAGTATTATAATAAATTAACCGAGAAAATATTATTTATATTAAAAAAAAAATATATGACATCAATAATGCTTTATTTATTGTACATCTTTTGAGTAAAAACGAAGAGTTGGATGATGCAAACTTTTTTAACGGTCCCCTAAGATTCCTGGTTTTCAGAAAAGCAACAATACTTAAAGGAAAGAACCTATGCTTTAGGGTTCGTTGTATGACGTGGGTAAAGTGAATTGAAATTTATACATTTATAGGTGACTTTTAAATCTTAAATTGTCGTTCTCATTTCTATAAAATTATATATGTAAAATAAGGTGAAAATGGTAAGTTAAAATTATTTTATTGATGGATATTTAGATAATTATGGGCATAGATCATAAAATTCG